CAGACCGGGCGGGGGCGGCTGGGGCCCGGCCCGAGGGGGCCGCCGGCGGGAGGGCCTGGAATAACATCGCTTCGATGGCGCGGGGCGGGGGGGTCGTGCTGAGAGGCATCCCGGGCCCCCCGGGTCCCCCCGGGCCCAGACGGCCTTGGAGACGGGGGGGGGGGGCTCGCAGTTTGTAAGCGCAGGTGAGCAGCATTGTGAGCGTTTTCAGACTCGGGTCCGTTTGCGAGGTCACTGTGAGTCCCTGGCTCAAGGACACGGTCTCGTTTGGGCTTTTTAAGCCCAAGTGGAACAGGATGTTGGGGGTGGATCATGGGGTGATTTTTCCCTCCCTCCTTCCCCCCCCCCCCATACACAGACACATCCCCTGATGAGGGATCCCGGAGCCGAATTTGGACATCCGTGGGCACCTGCGGTGATTGGAAAAGCCACTAATTCTGTAGCCCAAATGGCTACGGTTTTTAAGGGTCGAGAGTCCCTATCTGGTTACTCTTGAGCTTCTCCAATTCCTTTTCTCTCTTTGTTTTTCCAGTCTGTGTTTCATATCTGGGAAGATTTTACCAGGACCTCAAAGACAGAGATGTCACATTCTCACCAGCTACTATTGAAAAAGAACTTATAAAGTTTTGCCGGGAAGCAAGAGGCAAAGAGAATCGGTTGGTGAGTAGCTAGTGACCCCAGCTGACCCCTGGCACCTGTCTGCTGATGGGGCCGTAGGTCTGGCTCTGAGGCCCCGCATCAGGTACTCTGCATGGTGATGGTTCTGTTTGGTAGTTATTACGCACCTATTGTGAGTTGAATGCTCAGAAGATCAGAGGAGAAAAATGACAGACAGACAGACATCTAGCCCCGGGAAGAAGAGAGCCCTAGATCGTTCAGTGGGTAGACCGTGGTCAGAAGGGGGTCAGTTAAAGAAAGGTCATTGAAGTGGGAGTAAGGGAATCCTCACATAACCACCTGGGCAGAAGAGACAGGGAGGGTGACTGCCCAGGTACTAGAGAGAGCTTGGTGTGTGAGGGCCTCAGATTTACACTGACTGGATCTGACTGCCAGTCTGTGCCAAGGCTCAAAAAGAGAGAGAGAAATGTTTTGACTTTTTGCAGGGGAGGGAAGGAGGCTTAAACTTGGAGCTTCTAGCTCAGCCTTTTTTTGTGTGTGTGGTCATGAGGCTTGAACTCTGGGCCTGGGCGCTGTCCCTCAACTCTTCAGCTCAAGGCTAGTGCTGTACCACTTGAGCCACAGCGCCACTAAATGTTTTTCTGAGTAGTTTATTGGAGATAAGAGTCAGACTTTCCTGCCCGGGCTGGCTTTGAACCGAGATCCTCAGCCTCCTGAGTAGCTAGGATGACAGGCGTGAGCCACTGGTGCCGGGCTAGCTCAGCTTTTTCACTGGTAGGCACTCTATGCCATTTGAGACATGCCTCTACTTCCAGCTTTGTGCTGGTTGATTTGTCTTGAATTTTTTCTGCCCCAGCTGACTTCAGTCGTTAGATCTCAGCATTGTTAGTAACTCGATTACAGGTGAGCTGCAGGCACCTGTCTGAGATGCGTTGCATGCATATGCCAGTCCTGGAGTTTGAACTCAAGGTTTGGGCACTGTCCCTGAGCTTATTTTTTTGTCGGTTGTGGGGCTTGAACTCTGGGCTTGGGTGCTCCCTGTCCCTGCGCTCTACTGCTTGAGCCACAGCACCACTTCCGGTTTTCTAGTGGTTTATTGGAGATAAGAGTCTCATGGACTTTCCTGCCCCAGCTGGCTTTGAACCCTGATCCTCAGATCTCAGCCTCCTGGGGTAGGTAGGATTACCGACGTGAGCCACCGGCACCTGGCTGTCCCTGAGCTTTTTTACTCAAAACTAGCACTCTGCCACTTAGGCCACAGCTCCACTTCTGATTTATTTATTTATTTACTTATTTATTGGTGGCTAATTGGAGATGAGAGCCTGGTCAGACCAGCATTGAACCACGATCCTCAGTTCTCAGCCTCCTGAGTAGCGAGGATTATAAGCACGAGTCACTGGTGCCCAGCTAAGATGACTTTAGAAAAAGCTATTGTCCGTTCTTGCTGCAGTGCTACTACATTGGGGCCACAGATGATGCAGCCACCAAGATCATTAACGAGGTGTCAAAGCCCCTGGCCGCCCACATCCCTGTGGAGAAGATCTGTGAGAAGCTGAAGAAGAAGGACAGCCAGATCTGCGAGCTGAAGTATGGTGAGTCTGAGGTCAACAAACGTGTCTGGTCGGAGCTTGCTCTCTAGGTGGAAGAAGGTGGTAACGGCCATTGTGAGTGTGTTGTGGGGCGCGATAGGTGGTACTCAGAGTGAGGGGATGCCAGGGAACTTGGCGTTGAAGCGCCACTGGGAAGGTATGTTCCAGCACACTGCAGGCGGCTAGTGAAGCACCTGCAGCTGACAGGAATGTGGTCAGGCCCCAGAGGTCCTTATAAGTTGATGAGAACTTTAGATTTGATCTGAATGAAGCTGAGGAGCTTTTGAAGTTTTGTTTTTTGCTTTTGTCGGTCACAGGGCTTGAACTCTGGGCCTGGGCGCTGTGCCTCAGCTCTTCAGCTCAAGGCGAGCGCTCTACCACTTGAGCCACAGCACCACTGCCGGTTTTCTGGTGGTTTATTGGAGATCAGAGTCTCATGGCCTTTCCTGCCAGGGCTGGCTTTGAACCACGATCCTCAGATCTCAAGCTCCTGAGTAGCTGGGATGACAGGCGTGAGTCATCGGTGCCAGGCTGCACTAAAAGTTTTTGAGCAGAGAAGCAATATAATCAGACTTGAGTTTTTCAAGCTTGTTGGCACTGTACCTCCAAAGACCCAAACATGTTTAGCCCAAGAGGGACCAGGCCACCACAGCTGGGTGACTGAGCCCATCTCTGGCTGGACAAACAGAGGCAAAGTCTAAGGCCATTGTTTTTGTGGTGACTGAAATGTGCAAGGCCCTGTGTTTTCCCACTTGTGTCAAGGATTCTGGGTATTCTTCTAAGAGTGTTCCTGGCACAGGTTAACTGACTCCACGTCACTCTGAGCTTAGGTTTGGTCGTCCTGTGAAGAATGGCGGGGGGGGGGGGGGGGGGAGGCACCGCGGGGCGGCTCTGTACTGCATGCCCTGCGGTGGGCACTGTCAGTAAAGGGCAGTGGCCCCACAGCCAGGAGAGTTGGTGGTTTTAAGGAAGGGTTCTTAGCTCTACGGGAAGCTGCCACCACTCTGCATTTCCCACTCCCCCTGCAGACAAGCACATTGACCTGAGCACCGCGGACCTGAAGAAACTCCGGGTGAAAGAGCTGAAGAAGATTCTGGATGACTGGGGAGAGATGTGCAAAGGCTGTGCGGAAAAGTCTGACTACATCCGGAAGATAAACGAACTGATGCCTAAATATGCCCCCAAGGCAGCCAGCGCTCGGACTGATTTGTAGTCTACCCAATCTCTGCTGCACCTGAGGGGGGAAACAGCTGGCTCCCCCCCACCCCCACCCCCCAAAAAAAGCCTTTTTGTAATTTATTTTTTAAGCGGGCTCCTGACAATACAGATGTGAAGCCTAGAGTGTTCCTGATCATGCTGACTCGACGGAGTCACCTTGAGGGGTTCATCACTTCCTCTGTTGCTGGTTGCTCTAGGACTTCAAAAAACGTGTGTGGGATTTTTTTATTAAAGGGGGAAAAAAAATTCTAGCTGTCCTTGGAGAGTTAACCGTGAGTGCTCACACAGCTCCTGCAGCTGAGGAGACTTTACAGCAAGAGTCTGGGGAAATACTCTTTGCCCCACAGCGCTAACTGCCAGGACTGACATCTCAGTCAGCCTGGGGAGGGGTTGGGCTTGACACCAGGATGAGGGGCCTGGAAGTTCCCGCTGTCTGGAGCATGTGGAGAACTGGGGCTGGCTGAGTGCATCCAGACTGAAGGAGTGTGCTCAATGTTAACATCGGCTTTTGCCTGGGTCTGGGGCTCCAGCCTCCAGGAATTACTTGGATTTTTTTTTTGGGGGGGGAGGGGTCCGGTGGAGCGCCCTACCACTTGAACCACACCGCCACTTCCGGCTTTTTTCTTATGTGGTGCTGAGGAATTGAACTCAGGGCCTCAGGCATAGCAAGGCAAGCGCTCTACCACTGAGCCAACTTCCCAGCCCATGGTTTTTAGCTTCTCTACTTGGTGGTCAGGGTGGGCTGCAGCTCAGTGTAGGCACCTGCCCACAGACTAAGAGGAGGGATTTTCTTTTCGCTTATGTGGTGCTGAGGAATCGAACCCAGGGCTTCAGGCATGCAAGGCAAGCGCTCTACCACTGAGCCAACTTCCCAGCCCAGCCCAGCCCAGCCCAGCCCAGCCCATGGTTTTTAACTCCTCTACTTGGTGGTAAGTGTGGGCTGCAGCTCAGTGGAGGCACCTGCCCACAGACTAAGGGATTAAGCGTTAATCTTGCTTTCTATTAAGAGCTGGCCTTCCCTCAGATCGCTTCAGTTGTGTAGTTCCTAAGTTCACTTCGTCTGTAATGGCCATTAGGACCTGCCATGGAGCTCGGCTATCTTCCTCCAAGACCATTTCTGCGTCTACGGAACTGCTGCTTATGTGTGGGAAGAGGAAAAAGTTGGGTGCACTCCCCATCCTACAAGTTCTCTGAAGTTGGGCCAGGTACCTCTTGTCTGATTGAAAAACACCCAGTAGGCTTCACCTGGCCTCTGGAGGTGGACAGGCCCAGCGAGCAGTCAGTGTGGCAAGAAATGGTAGCTTTGCCATGGGCCTGCTCTGGCTGGACACCAAGGAGTCCATCTCTCATACGCTGCAGGTGTGCGGTCTGTATTTCCTGTGGCTGGATCCGACCAGGTGTGTGACCCTGGATGCAGAGGACGTGCAGGCAGCGGCCGGGGCCTGGGCGTCTGTGCGCAGTGCTCAGGCATGCGAGTCCCAGTTTGGACGCCGCTCAGGGGCAGGTGTGGGAGGTCGAGTCAGAACCGCTGCACTTACTCCGCGGGCCCCAGGAGCGTGGAGGCCGCCCCC